GAGTGTAACAGAGTCATAGAGGGTGACAGATACAGACATGGCTTGGTGGAGACCACTTATTTAAGCGCTTGTTTGGTGTGCAATGACAGCCCAGGAGACCACTAAGTAGAAGGATTCACAATCACCAACTGCATGTATAACCACAGGGGTGGGATTTCATAAACTATCCCAACCTGAGATTTTCCCCTGAGCCAACATCATTACAAATGTAGAAGTCTCGCAAGATGCAATTTCTGTTTATGTCCTTGGAGAAGTTGAAACTGGGTTTGAGTGGAGCAAATATGGCAAGTCCATTTCTTCTTTCAACCAAGCAACCTTCATCTCTATTGGGAGACCCATGTCCTGGTTGCTCTCAACCACCTGTCCTGAGTAGCAGAGTCACTGAGCTGGAGAGCACTGGTCTGATGGGAACGTACCACAACTGCAGGAAGGATAAGGGCACACTGTGCACAGAAACTGAGGAGAGAAGAGTCTGTTAGAGGGGGAATCTGGTAATTACAGTGTTATTAAGTCCTTTCTGCTTGATCCTTACAGCAAATCTTCACACACTCAGTTTACATTTATTTGCACTGAAATGGAGCCTGCTACCTCTCCACTCCAGTCATTGACACAACATTTTGTGCGCAATACTGAATCTGCACAAATTCAATGTGCATTTAATGCATCTATCTAGAAGTTACTGTGAAAAGATAAATACCCCAAAACCCAAACAAACCAGGCTTTGTAAGCAGATCAGTAGTTCTAGTGCAAGGTAAAGTGGCTTGTTTTTACTGAGTGTGGTAGACTCCTTCAGAGATGATGACTATGTGAAATGTTCTGGGAATATTTCATGACCGGGTTACTGTACTTCTTTTTTTTTTTACTGCAACATGTGCAATTCACTTGATGTTCTTGTGCACTTTTTTTGATTTTTTATTTCATTTTGTATGAAAGCTTTTTCATTTACCTCTCCCTTCCCGTTATTTATAAAAGCTATTGTGGTTTTAACAGTTTAAATTTGCGTTGTTGTAGTGAATAGCCACTCTTGAATGTTATGTTTCCATCTTTCAAACAAAGTACAAATAAACAAGTAGATTCTGAAGGGCTATCAGCTGTCCTGAATCACAACATTGAACAACCAAACATGAAAATAGCCAGGAAAAGTCTGAATCAACCCAAGCTTGAACAATTAATAATTTTGATGTTAATCTCAGGGGTGAGAGAACAGTAAGTATTGCTGGAGGGGAGACAGAGTTGCTATTCTTTGCAAACCTTTTGGAAAGTCTCACACATCCCCATTCAGTGATTTCGAATATACTTAACAATTGTCTTCTGTTCATTAGCGTTTTACTTCATTGCTGCTCCAGTTCAGAGCCCCAGTAAGGGCCACTGCCTGCCCTGGGCTGGGGAGGGAAGTTCTAGGTCACAAAGGATTTTAAAAAGTAACATCAGTTTAAATCTGAGGGTAAGTGCATAAATATCTGTGTGTTGGAGGTCATTTGGAACGGTCTGGTTCAAGCCTTCATCGTAACTTAAAACCAGCTATTCTACTACATGGAAAATGTACAGCAACATGCATTCAAATAAGAAACAGTTTTAAAAAAAAGAAAAAGGAAACCTAGAATTTAATATCCAAAAGGTAGAAGCTTGATTTTAATTCTCTTTTTTCTCTGGATTTCTTCAGAAATAAAATTTCTACAGAGGCTATCCACTTTCCCAACTATTTTAATTTTAATAGAAATCCATATTCTGGTGCAATACGCAGCACTTTTGAATTTCCCTTCTGAACTCAAGCAGGAACACTTGTCCTCAGCAATCGCTGCGATACCTGTCCTTCATTCATAGACTCATAGAATCATAGAATCACTTTGGTTGGAAAAGACCTTTGAGATCATTGAGTCCAACCTTTAACCTAACCCTGCCATCCCACCACTAAACCATGTCCCTAAGCACCTCATCTATCCTTCTTTTAAATACCTCCAGGGATGAGGACTCTACCACCTCCCTGGGCAGCCCATTCCACAGCCTGACAACCCTTTCGGTGAAGAAGTTTTTCCTAATGTCTAGCCTAAACCTGCCCTGGCACAGCTTCAAACCATTCCCCCTCATCCTATCATCTGTTACCAGGGAGAAGAGGCCGACCCCCACCTCTCTACAGCCTCCTTTCAGGTAGCTGCAGAGGGCGATCAGGTCTCCCCTCAGCCTCCTCTTCTCCAGACTAAATAACCCCAGTTCCCTCAGCCGTTCCTCATATGACTTGTGTTCCAGACCCCTCACCAGCTTGGTTGCTCTCCTCTGGACATGTTCCAGCAATGCAACATCTTTCTTGTAGTGAGGGGCCCAAAACTGAACACAGTATTCGAGGTGCGGCCTCACCAGCACCGAGTACAGGGGCACGGTCTTTTTCCACCAGACAGCTTTCCAGACACTCTTTGCCAAGCCTGTAGCGCTGCATGGGGTTGTTGTGACCAAAGTGCAGGACCCAGCACTTGGCCTTGTTGAACCTCATACAGTTGGCCTCGGCCCATCGATCCAGCCTGTCCAGGTCTCTCTGCAGAGCCCTCCTCCCCTCAAGCAGATCAACACTACCACCCAGTTTGGTGTCATCTGCAAATTTACTGAGGGCACACTCAAACCCCTCATCCAGGTCGTTGATAAAGATTAAACAAGACTGGCCCTAGAACTGAGCCCTGGGGGACACCGCTTGTGACCGGCCGCCACCTGGATTTATCTCCATTCACCATGACTCTCTGGGCTCAGCCATCCAGTCAGTTTTTAACCCAGCGAAGAGTACATCCATCTAGACCATGAACTGTCAGCTTCTCCAGGAGAATGCTATGGGAGACTGTGTTGAAGGCTTTGCTGAAGTCCAGGTATACAACATCCACAGCCTTTCCCTCATCTACCATTCCTCGAACTGCTCTGGTCACCCAGGTGGAAACCCAGACCAATGCCAAGGCAGCTGCTCTGCACTGACAGCACTGAGACGGAGTTCAGCATCTGGCTTCATCTGGATTACAACAGTGACACAGAGCTATTGGTGTGAGAAAGTGTCTCTATTTCCATGTAAAAAATGCCTCGCCTGCAGCTCTGCGAATTAAGAGCCATAGTTCTACTTCCATTAACTTAAATGGGGGTACTGCCTGTGGTTTCTGTTAATCTCCTCGTGGAGAGGGACAGAGTCTCCTCATGGATTTTATTTTTTTTTTCAAAAAAGATGAAAAGGGAAAGACATCTAAGTATATTCATATCTTCACTTCTGGATCAAGAGCTAACCTGATGTCTTTAACCCTTAGATCAGCTCTTTACCACCTTGCACGTAGTTGCAGGTTTGTGCTACCAAAGCCATTTCCTGCTCTCACTCCTATGATATAGGAGTAGTCCATACAGGCTTGATACACATATTAAGTGATGGTAGCAGGGAGAAAGCAATGAAAGCCATCTCCGTTTCTACTTTCGGCCTGCTGGACTAAAACATTGCAGCCATTGTTTCCATAAAAGTAAACAGTGATGGGATATACTGTGAGGTCTGGGGAAAGAATGAGTGGGTTTTAGCCTGAGAGTAGTTCATATCCTAACATAAGTTGCAACCTGATTATATAGCACCAAGCTCCATCAGAAGATCCAAAATGATACTCTAAAATTGCTTAAGATAATAATTTTTTCATGACTGCAATGGTGTCGCCTGTTGTTTCCCCTACGCAGATACCAAGGGTCATAGGGAGCTACACTAGCCAGAGACCAAGCCAATTGAGGCCGCTTTTTATTGAATCCTGGGAGAAGTTCCCATTAGCTTCAGTGAGAGCAGGTTCAGGCCCTGGGAGATCACAGGTGTCCATTCTCTGGCCCTTTTCCTCCCCATAGTACGCATCTCTTGACCTCAGTGATTTACTTCAGTATAATTGAATAGATACATAGGCCTGCAGTATTAAACCTTTCAGGTCTCATTTTCTGTGCTTTAGCACCACTTTATCCATGGGTTTAAGAGAAATCTAACTTAAAAAAAAATCCCCTATTAACTTTTCTAACGTCAATCTGTCAAAATAATTGGGAAAATACTGGGCAAACCATTTGCAGCCAGGTCTTGTGATAGCATCTTAAAATCAGGCATAAGAAAAGATGTCCTTGAGCCAGAAATCAAGACAGGCTGTTCTATACACTTTTCTATCTATTTTATGGTTTGGTATTCAACTAATTATACAATTTCTCATTTGTTCTGTTGATGCAGAACAATTCCTGATGTGGAAAATCATCCTGCTTCTGTTTGCACTAGCTAATTTCCCAGCCCCCAGAGAAATACTTTTCTTTTACACCTCTCTGAATAGGCAGAGATTTCAGCCTTCATATCTTACCCACCAGCTGCAAATCAAACCTGTGTCTACCCAGTGGGGCAAAAATAAACAGACTGCATTTGCAGAATCACCAAAATAAAATCACCTTCTTTCTTCCCTTAATTTTTTCTTTTAATTCTCTCAGTATTTACATACAAGAAGAGCTTAAATCCATTCACAAGTGTGGTTTCTACATTAAATACTGTCCTTCCAGTCTCTTGCATGCAAAAGGGAGTGACCTGAATGTCTTGACTTCTCTGGAATTACTTTAAAGTACAAAAACTCTTTGAATGGGTTTAATTCATTTCATTTCACTGTTGCTGCCGCAGGGCAACCCCAGAAAGATGTTCCCACATGGAGGAGGTCTCCTAGGTGTTACAAGTGCGGCTATGATGGGCCCCCAGCCCCACTTAGACAATGCCTGTCGATGAAAGAGCCCTGGTTGGCCTCACTCTCTGTGCCACCGGCTTCGTAAGGCTTATTCCCGATTTACACCCGTGTACTGAGAGGAGAGTGGAGCCCGAGTAGCTTCCCAACAGTTCCTAATCGGCTCCAGCCCGCCCATGAGGAAAAGGGTGCCATTGCCAGCCTCCTTCCCCCCGCCGCTCCACGCTGCCCCGTGCTTGACCAGGCGGCTCAATTCACTCTCAGGAGCTGTCACATTTGGCACAACTCTGACACCTGCCCCGGCTAAAGATAGCCAAAAACATTGAAAATCGGTGGGGGGACAGCAGGCTTGGTGGGGATGGGTTTCAAAACCACAGGCCTGTAGAGTTTCTGCCCCATGCCGTCGGCCTCCTTGCAGAAATGTGGCACCTCCGCTGGCAGCGCGGCCGCACTTTTCCTCCACAGCCCCAGCCCCGGGAAGGGCGACGGGGGCAACGCACCCGGGGGCTGGTACACCCCCGGCCCAGGGCAGGGGAAGGGGCAGCAGGTCCAGGCACCCACCCGGCCTGAGAGGACTGCGGCAGGGTCCTTCTCCCCAGCATGCGGGGCAGACTCGGGGGGGCTAGCAGCACTTTTTCTCCACAGCCCCAGCCCCGGGAAGGGCGACGGGGGCAACGCACCCGGGGGCTGGTACACCCCCGGCCCAGGGCAGGGGAAGGGGCAGCAGGTCCAGGCACCCACCCGGCCTGAGAGGACTGCGGCAGGGTCCTTCTCCCCAGCATGCGGGGCAGACTCGGGGGGGCTCTCTGGGCCGGCAGTGTCTGAGCTCCGTTTCCTTTTCTTCCCCTCGTTGGGGACTGGGGTCAGGTGCCTCAGGCTGGGGGCCACGGCCCCGGTCCTCTGCCCCCCTGCGCCAGCCACACTCGGGGGGTTTGCTGGGGTGGCACCGTGGGATCCGTGAGTACTTCTGAGAAAACCGCTTGAGCTGCTTCTGCAAGTATTTTCTGTGGTCAACTGACCGGCGACACGGAGCCGATTTATCCAGAGCCGCTTTGATGTCGCTGGAGGCCAGGGTGACGAAGGTCAGCAGGGGTTTCACCTCACCGGTGAAAAGTTTATAATCCACCTTCAGACAAACCTTGGCAAACCTGCAAAACATGACGGGCAGACTTAAGAGCAGGAAGCCTTGGTTCAAATAGCACCAGGCAAATGGAGGGAGGGTGGGAGGACATGTCAAACTTCTCAGCCATGCAGACAAGTTGTCCATCAGCTCGCCTCCAAGCTGGCAAGCTCCCGGCGGAGCCGCCTCACGCCCGCAGCCCACCACCCCACACCGCTGCCCCGGCACGCACCAGCGCCGGGACTGGCTCACGAATGCCGGCCAGCCTGGCGTCTAATCCTGTTAGCTAGTGCTTTGGTGGAAAGAAGCCGGGGCGGGCGCCCCCCCCTCCCCGTAAGCAAACCGCGGCGGCTTTTCTCGCCGGTGCTGGCGGCTGCGGCGTGGCTGCGGAGAAGAGCCCCTTCCCCACTAATCTCGTTAGGCAGGTTACACACCGCCAACCTCGGCGGAGGCAGCCGGGGCCCGCCAGTGTTTGGATGCAGTTTAGCAAGCACTTGAGCAAGCTGAATGAATATCGACTCCGGCGAGTTCGGGGCTCTCCCAGGCCAATCAGAAGCCACTTTGCCAAATACAAAGCATCCCAATCAGGCATCAGCCTCCCCTCCTCGCATTCTTTGCCATCACAAATTGTCACCATGGGGACAGCCACAGAAAGACAGCTAATAAATACAATCATTTCCCCGTGATTTCTACCATTCTCCCCTATCCTCTTCACCCGTACTGAGGCCTTTCTTTTTAAAAATGACACAATCCAAAGCAAAAATGCTGAGCATGAGTTAGGAGAGTTTAGACACCCTTTTCTCCACACTCCCCGAAGCTGTCTGGAAGCTGACACTAACCATGCTTCGTTGGCACAGGACAATGTAATACGGGGGACCGGGCTAGCCTACTTTTAACCGTTCCCCATCAGAGACTTTTTTTTTTTTTTTTTTTTTTTAAGGGGAGGATGATGTCAGAAAAAGGTAGGAAAGGAACAAATCTCTAAAGAGATGTGCAGATATCCATGGAAAGGGAGCTTGAGCGCTCAAGAATCTTGTCTTTATGTTTGCCCCCTCAATTGAGTTACACAAAAGCTGAATTACCCATTCAAACTACCCGGACAAAAGGATGGAGTTGGATAGTACTCTTGCATCTGTAGTCAAACAGTTAGAGACTTAAATCGAGTCGTCATGATGGAGAAAGAGTTAGACAAAGCCCATAGAATTGCCATCAGCAAACATTTTCCTGTGTCATATTAGTGGGTCTCCATGACTCCCCCTGGCCTGGGGACAATAGCACAAGTTTGCACACTCGACTACTGTCACCCTGCCAACGCTGGCAAGGAGCAGAAACAGGACAATCCTTTAAGGGGAAAGCATGCCCGCTGCAGGGAAGGTAAGAAGAGAGGGAAGAAAAGGCGTGTGAAATGCTAATTGAGCTGCTTCCTTTACTGATCCAGAGTTATGCGAGCCCTCCTCCTTCTCGCAGGCTTGTCCCTAAGGGGTGGCAATAACTTAATAGCAGGAGAGCTGGAGGAAGAGGAGAGCAGAAGGGCTGCCCTCGGTGCTCACTGGACACACCGATGACACAGAGCTGGCGGCAGCCTGTGTGCCAGCCCGGGACCCACTGCTTCCCACGGCCAGAGCAGCACTGCTCCCGCTCTCCGGCCCACAGCACCCTCGGGATGGGAATAGTGGAGAGGGGCACGGGACACGTGCACCTACCATCAGAGAGATGCTGCCCACTCTGGACCAAACACATGCATGCCCTGGGGAAAGCAGGGACTGAAGTCCAAGCCATTTTGCAAGTAAAATCTACCCTACTCATGTGAGGCATCAAAGGCCTGAGAACTGAGGGTTGAAAACAGCTGCATTTTACGGTTATTTTACTGTATTTCTATTACTTTCATTTTCCTTAGAGAAGGACAAGATCCAGACTGTGCCATTATACTAAACTTTGGGCAGAGGCCTCAGGGAGGATTCCTCAATGTCTGCATACTGGTGTGCCCAGTGCTGCCATCCCTGTTCACATCAATTCTCCCAGTCTGGCACAAGCCACACGTGCCGGCACCCTGGCTCAGGTGTTTCAGGTCTAGGGAGACCCTGGGGCCAGGACACCTTGCAGCAGAAGGTGCTACAGAGCCTTTGGCACCATGGCGGGCTGTAACACAGTGGCTGATTTGCCACTGAGCCTCCCTCCTTCCAGTTTCTAATTCAGAAGCGGTTCATTGCCTGGGAGACCTGGGCAGCTAGCTCTGCCTGCAGCCTCTATCATCTGCCTCAGGCCAGCAGGCAAATCTCTGCACAGTCTTCTCCATTTGGCTCATTTGAGTGGGGGCAATTTCCAGACACCTGTCTGAGCATCTATTTCAGGATGCACGAGCTGGGGCCTGGCCTCTCGGTGACCCAACACAGATCCTTCTGTGCAGCTGAGGCTACAGGGAGAGGTTTTGTCTAGCTCATTGAAAGAGATGCACACCAAGGGATCACATCTTTGTTTGTAGGAACCAACTGCCTCCTGTGCTTGAGCATTTGAACCCAACCTGGACACCATGTTGCACACTGCAATCTCTCAATAGATCTAGTTGGTTGCCCAAAGGGGTAAGAGGGCGAGACAGAGAAACATGGGACAGGTGCCTGGAAGCAAAGGATTGTCTCAAGATGTTAATGAACTGTGTCCTCAGAGGCCTGGGAAACTCATGCCACGTATTATGAGACCCTATATGCAATCACAGGGGCTCAGGACCCCTGGGCTATGCTCTGAGACTGAGGGCTAGTGGGCCGGTTAGATTGAGGAGGGTCGATGTGGCTCGCCTGCTTACTGGAGGGTAAGGGAAACCCATACCCCTCCAACACTCCCATTGCAGAAGCCCTCTCCAAGCCCCCAGACTCAAGCTGTGCCTGTCCCCTCCTGGAAGGACGCTTGCTCAGGATGCAGCTCCTTGGGCACCACGTGGCAGCAGCGGAGGGGCTCCCCATGCCCCGCTGTGCTCGCTGCTCCGGCATCTCGTTCCCCTGCAGCTGAGTAACGGCGGGGAGCCGGCGGGGAATGAACTGTCGAGCAGGATTTAAAAAACAGAGCAACCCACCCTTTCAAGGTCAGACTCAGGTTGAGCTGCACAGGGTTTTCTCTAAGAGGCCACCGGAGCCCTTTTGTTCCTCGCTGCTCTGGCCGTGTTCATCCCAATGTACATGTGAAAGGAACAATTAACAATAGGGCACTCCTCTCCGAGGATCCAATGCACTTTGAAGTGTCCACCAACCAAAGGCTCAAGAATGATACATCATTTTCCACTGTGAATGTGTCAAACTAGTACAGCAATTGAAAAAATGTCTCCACATGCCTTCTCAGCATGCAGACAGGGACCAGCTGGAGAGCCACTTCATATCCAACATGTCACCCCCTGACAGCTGTCTTCCTGGGAATTTTTGGTATGTGAAGTTTTCCAACTCCTTTTTTTCAGTAAAGCACAAGAATAAATCAATTCACCTCAAAGTTGCAGCCAGGCCTCTCCTAAACGTGCAGTCTTTCCTTCAAGACTGAATAAAGGAGAGAAAAAAGAACATTTTCTTACACAAAAATACCTAGGAACTGTTTTTAAAGTGTCTCTCCTAAGTGATGTCAGTCTTCAGCTACTCCTACACCAAAACCTCCTGCAGCTTATTTCCAGGCTGAGGGGCCCATTCAGCAAAGGTGTTCCAGCATCAGGCTGGCTTGGACTGTGTGAGCAGACCCACTAACTACAACGCACACCATTAACTGGGGTAGGGATCCCTCCGCCGTAAGTGCCCCAAGCGCTTCAAATAGCATGAACACCCAAATTACTGCTGTTATGTTAATGGTCTGTAAAGCAAAGAGCAGCTCAGTGAACAACTGAGTGGTACAGAGATACAGAAGTCACTGTTCTGACACTAGTTTACTCAAAATTCTTCTTCCTCCCCTAAAACAGAGCTTTTTCTCCACCCTAGCCTGAGCAACAGGGGTTGTCAGAGGGTTCACCCCGCTGTCAGGATAACGACTCTGCATATCACATGGTACACTTTCTGGGCAGGCCTGGACTGAAATCAGTTCTCAGTGGCTTTGTGCCCTCCCTGATTTGGGATATCTCTTTGTCTGAGGTACACACCTGTGTGGTAAGCACCGATATCCTCATCTCATCCCCATGGGTGTTCAAAATAGGTAATCTCCCTTTATTAAAAAAAAAAAAAGACCAACACCTTTCAGATTTTTACTTGAAAAATAAGGCTTCTTAACAATGGTCAAAAGATTTTCTTTCTAAAGTCTCTAGAGGTTTTGCTTGTCTGTGTTTAGGGGAAGAGAGGAAAAAATTTCCATTGTTTTGCAGAAAATTTCAACTATTTATCCCTATTTGGGTCACAATCCTGTGACTCCTTATTGAGCCTAATGAACGTGCACTTTGAAGCAAAGGGAAAATGGGGCTCCAGCTGTTTTGATACATGGTAAGAAAATAAGCTGCAAAATTCCCAGATGGGCCACCTGTGAATCATGCCTTTTCTTTGTCCATTAAGGGCAGATAAAAGCAAAGATATTTCAGTTGCATGGTATCTTTTCACATACCTGCTGTTTCCTAAGCTTCTGCTCTGCCTTCACACTTGGAAAAAGAAAGAGCAAGAGTTTGTAGAAGAGCCAGGAGCCTGTGAGGAGGTGATGATGGCTTGTGGTGAAACGAAGTATTGGCCTGGAGAGGAGAAATATTGGGGTGGAGGAACACCACTAAAGCTGTTCCTCAGGGGTCCTGATTTTAGATTTCTTGTTGACAGTGACTGAAGCGGAGGGATGTTAATGTTGTGCTGATGGCATAAAAAAGGAAGATATTATTTAACATCATACTGGAAGATCTGGGTGACCTTAGGGGTGAATGCAATGGGAGACTGTAGTAACTCTGAGCCACACACCTCAGGCAATGATAGCAGGAATCTCACCCACGAGGAAAGATGTCACTGTCTCGAAATGAGAAAAAAAAAAACAGGTCATAGGATGAAAATTAATCCCCCACCATCCAGTCTGACCTTCAAAAGGGGGACACTGGTGGTCAGGCT